AAATGTTCATAATACTGGTTGCAGAGTAGACTCATCTCAAAACTGTTCAAGTGTAAGAAGAAATTGACCAGTGGGTCATCAAACTTAAACGCCGTGCTCTACACAGTTAGATGGTGTAGGCAAAAAGTTTAGCATTCCTTTTGTGTCCAAAATTCCCTAGAAGGAGTACGAACTCTGAAATATGCCAAAATTTGCATCTTTGAACCAAAATGGCTGACTTCCTGTTCAGTTCTGGCCATGCCCCCTTGAGACTTTTTCGTGCATCCTGTTATGATAGACATGTCTTGCCGATTTTGTCTTTCTTGCTGAAACTGGTGTCGGGGACTAATTTATTTGAACTAACCAGGGGGGCACGACTGATTGTTTTGTGGTTGAGGGGAAAGACATCCATTTTTCATCGGGATTCACCCACCCATTTCTTGAGCCCCCCACCCTGCCCCCAAAAAGCAAAAAATAATAAACACAGCAATTTCATTGTCTCAAAATGTACAAGTTTTAGTTTTCTTATTTCGTTACCGGGCCTCCAGTTAGCTTTCAAAGGTCACTTTGCTTAACATCAGCACTACAGCTCACAATTATCTTTTGTTTGGAAGTTGGCGAACAGTGCACAGACAGTCCATATCGGCATTCAGGCCCAGCAACATGGCGATAATAAAACATCAGACTTGATTATAAAGCCAGAGCCCGATACAAGTGTTTGATCACACACTTGGGCGGCTGTGACTCACCACGTGAACACACACATGCACACACGCACTAACTCCCCGACACATGGTGAGAACATCCCCGGCCGAAAAACCTGCCTGGGCGCATTAGCCAGGATGACTTCAGACTCTGCGGACGCATCCAAAAATCCCGCCAGCAAAGCTCCGGGATCAGACAGGCTTGAGATCACAGTTGAAATGCACACGTACAAAGTGGCAAACATGTCGGATGGGCAGTGAGCAGCTGTTGTTTCGTGGCTCACACACCGTCAGAGAGCGCAGCTTGGCCTTAAACGCAGACGTCGGACTCCTCGTCATTTATTGAATATGATCTGATCCATTGTTTATGTTTGAGTGCGTGCGTGCGTGCGTGCGTGCGTGTGTGTGTGTGTGTGTTGGGAGGGGGGGACAATATCTGGATTAATAAATAACTAGATGCATGAATTTAAGAATTTAGAAAAAAAATGACCTTGTTTCATGTATCCTGTGAAACTTGATTGTAACCAAGCCATCGTTATTATGATTTCATTTTGTTGCGCATGATTTAAAAACATATATTTAGTGTCCATAATACTGAAACAAGAACACACGCTTTAATTATATGCTGCTTTGTGTTTATTTGCAACAGTATGCAAAAGCATAAACGACAGGAAAGGACAGCTTTAGAAGTCATACTGTCATATGCCCCGTTGCAATACAGAATTTAGAATGAGGTGCATTGACTGCATACTTTTACATTTGCATTGATCAAATAAACCTCAACCTCGGAGCGCTCGCATTGGAACAGCCTCAACTTTGGTCATGTGTCTGTTCAGGTCATTAAGTTTAAATGCAGCAGGGGTGATTTGAATGGAAGCTACAACACCATTAACTTTCTCCTCACACTCTCTCCGCTCTCCCTTTTGTGCTACAAATCTATTGAGATTGCGAGTGACCTATGGCATCATCCACCCGACTCAAAGCACATACACCCAAAACACAGTGCCGGCAGCTTGTTATGCATGTTTAAAAAAAATCCATACAATGGTACTAACTAACTAACTAACTAACTAACTAACTAACTAACTAACTAACTAAATAAATAAATAAATAAATAAAACAAATAGAAAATGCTGAACAGTGACCCTCGGTTGGGTGTAGCTTGGGACCACCGTAGGTAATTTGATGTGCGTGTACAGTATGTGTGTGACCGTGTCGTGTTGGTGGTCTCAACAGTGATCCCTGTGTAAGCTCTGGTCATTGCTAGGAGGCGGAAGGTGAGGTAGCAGGGGGCTAAAGAGGCTTTCATCAGATTACAGTTCATTCTCCATCTTTCAACATCATCCACCAGCATTGACGGCTGCTTTCAAGCACTTTGCTCCCTCTCAGAGAAAATCGGACCACAGTGTGTAGTTTGTCTCTGGTACAAAGCAGATCAATATTCCTCTTTCCTAATATCCGTAATGCACAGATCTTTCAGACTCAAAATACACGCAATGTACAACTCCCGGTGTTATGACCACTTAGAACTCAGTATTTTGCCATTTTCTCCTTCTAACTGACATAGTTAAATTGTTAGAGCACCCACATCGCCTTTGAAATACATGAAAAAAAGTTTGACCAGTGAGCATCAGATTAATATTCCGAACAGCAATGAGGTTTCAAACCAAAGTCAAATGTTTTGCCTAAATCTCAGCTCAATCACCGGGCTTCTCACCAAATTAGAAATTAATACAGCATCACATTCAACCGTTAAAACATTTTTCTACTCTGGGAGTCAAGTAAATGACTATAACTATTAATTTCATAATCTGCAGTACATTTTAAAATGAATGGAATTCATATTTAGCATAAAAAATATTTCAGTTAAAGCGGTGCCACAAATAATGATTTCAGAATGACCCGTGCGGTTCATCTGGGGCAACCACGTCATAAACAGTACATCTAGTGCTGGTTGAATAAAATTGTTCAAGGCCGTACATGTTTTTTTTTTTTTTAATATATCCATCTTGTCAACTATGGGGGATTTAATATTCCATTTCACAAGTTAAAGAATGCATATGCAGTATGCTAAAATCAAGATGAATATTTCATACTCTCCTCAACTTTCTTCAATACAAAATAAATGTGCAAGTGCAACCAGGCGTCATTTGAGACACTTTGATGTATGCGTTGGAAAAAAATAAATTAAAAAATCAGAAGGGATAATAAATCGTCCTCTAGTCCCCAAACAGAGGCAGATAATTTTTTTGCATCCATGACTTAGATGTCGCCAGATTCTGCAGACGCACTCACTAATATGGAGACCGGCCTCGCTGACAAAGCAGCGCGATGGCAAACAAATATCCACACAGGCCGCACTGCCTGAGGGTGCATGCACACTGAGTCACATCTGATGCCGTCCTCATTACACTAACTGTGGATACGTTGTCGTATATTATGGTCAGACTGTACCTTTCGTTTGTCTGAGTAATCTGTGTGTACGTGTGTGTGAGTGCGTGTGGTAATATGCCAATAGCAAAGGCATCTCTGGTGTCTATTAATGGGATTAGGAGTGACTTTCTCTCCCACAGCTCTCCTTTCTCTTAATCGCCTGGTTTTCTTAATTCCGACCGTATGTCCATTGCTTTGTCTTGCTCTCGTTTTGAACTGTGCTTTTCATGGCAATGCGATTATTATTATTTATTTTTTTTTTTTGATTCGGTCTCGTCACTCATCCATCTGTCTCTGGAGTGAAATGAGCTCTGCTGTAGACAAAGTGACAGACATCATTGTAGACATTTTGTGCTCAGTGCTCAGTCTCGAGAAAATCTTTTTGTCTCATGTTATTTCTAACCAGCTAAAGGTTATGAGCCTGAGAGTTTTCCACTGGACTTGAGTCATATTTTCTTGCGTCAGTCCAATTTCTGAGAAGAGCTAAATCCTGTCTAGATGTTTGACACGTTTTCAGCAGCTCACATGAGAAATGCCAGCAAGAGATAGAATTTCTGACTTCTGGCCAAACTGTTCATCAACTCTGAGCTTGTCACATCCGCGAAGGCCTGAGGAAGACTGCTTAGCTGTTGATTACAGTTACATAAAAGTATTGCACTATATGAGGCATCACTCAAAAAGCTTTCAATGGACTTTTTAAATAATGGATCTTTAAATATGATATAATGTGCACTATCCCCTGACCTTCTAATAGCTCCCATTACCTCATTTGTATGGCCAGTTTTTGCATAAGTATTATGGCCGCAACGATCTTCACACCATTTTTTTTCAGATTATTTGAATATAAAACCTTATTTCAACACCACTATTTAATCTTACCATCACATTTTTTGTTTTCTTGACTCCGAAAAATATCTCTTTTTACATGCACATACTGTATTCCCTTTGGGCTTTTCTTCAGTGTGCCTGATGCAAATAATGTACTGAATATGTCACAGTTACCTTTCAAATCTTTTCTTCTTGATGTCACAATTCAAAACCATTTAGAAGTATGTTTTAAGAGTTTGTTTTTACATGCTAGAGTCTTCAAGAAGCCTTTTGGAAGGTGACCGGAAACAGAAGAACCAAGAACACGCAATCTACCTACAAAGACCTGAGCCTGGATTTGAACCCCCAAACTTCAAAGCGTGAGGTGCTTACCCACTCGTTCACCGTTCTGCCCACAACCTAATAAGATATATGTACATTTTTAAAAAAAGTATCTTTTAGCGAGGTGGCGGAGTCAGTTGCGTAATTATTAACAAATTATTCCTGGTCTTTTCATTATTCGACAGAGACATTTCCTGCATCCTGTACAAAAGAATAGATAGATAGATAGATAGATAGATAGATAGATAGATAGATAGATAGATAGATAGATAGATAGATAGATAGATAGACTATAGATTAATGCACAGGCAGGCAGACTATTGGTGAGTGTAATACCTCCCAGTGTTTACACTCTGTTCAACCCAATTACAGTTTGTATATAGATAAGGGTAACATCATCAAATTTAAAGTTTACTCATTTTAATTTGGAATTGTCAAATACCATGAGGTATCATATCGACACGGTTGATAAGCGTGGAGTTAGTTGTATTTGAGAACAAAGCAAATACTCCCTAATGACAACAATGGAAGGCAAACAGCATACAGATGACTCAGTGCGACTGTCTCGATTTCAAACACACATTAAAAAACAATAATATAACAAAGGTGGACGCTCACCACCATGTAAGTCTGTTTTGGGGGAAAATCATTGTAATAATTAGGAAATGCAGTCCTAGTAGGAATCTTGGAGGTGTTGTGTGCGCCATGCTGCGTGTCAGAACAAAGAAAACTCACCTAACAAAAACATGTTTCATGTGTCCAACTGTTTCCTGCGTTGTCCATGCAAAGAGAACCACAAGGAGAATCATCCTCTTCTCTTGATCTGCTTGAAAAAGACCTCATTTCAATCTCACTGCATGGTGCCAACCGGGAGAAGAACTCCAGCGACACGCCACACACGGCTCTCAACTCCTCTCATCCACACGTGCAATATTCTGTTTGTCCACGCGAAAATGGCGCGGCCACCTTATGCAATATTGAAAACCCATAATAGTCCAGGAAATTGAATCAAAACCGCAAGACAGCCGTTTTCCCCCTCCCTGTGTTTACATCACGCTCCCTCTCCTTAAAGCACTCTCTATGTGCTTCCTTTGTTGTCAGCGTCTCATCCAGCATGACGGGCCAAACCATTCCACGACTCGAGAGGGGGTGCAAGAGGTGGGGGGGGATCCATTTCGTTACGGGAGCAACGAATAAGCTTGGTGACTCGTGGCCAAATGTTGTTATTGTGCAGGATAGAAGGTTGGGGGAGGGTTGGTGGTGAGGGGCCCATGTGAGTGAAAAGGGGTGGGGGGAGGCAAGGGGAGCAGAGTGGGCTCACGCACGGAAGATATGGCAGGATAAAAAAACAGCAAGTGTTCTGTTTCAGCACCGTGGAGAGTTCCCTAAAAAAGCAGAGAAAAGCGAATACATATTTCCTTAAACTCAATCGATGGCAGCAAATCCATTTAGCGGAAATTGTTTGTAGGCCAGCCTCATAAATACGTCAACCACAGGATGCGATACAATGTTTCTCTCTATTTTCTTCTGCAGAGTGACAAGACAATTCACACTCACTTAGGGCCAAAAGCAAATAATACATACAATATTGCACTGCATGTACTGTATGTATGATACTTAGACGAATTATATACAGGAGCGTGTTGTGTGAGCATGCGTTATGGGATTAAGAAAGAACGAAACATTTACCCTATAGTGTGCCTGTGGCGCCATCTCCAGGACAACAATTTAGCATTCATGTTTGTAACTATCTGGAGAGTAACGATACAATTGCAAGCAAGCTTATTTTTATGATCACGTTGCAACAGTTCTGTAAGACTGATATCTGTCTTGATATCTGTTTATTCTATGTACTATTCTGAGATACTTTTGTTTTGCGCCGTGAGGCAAACAAAAAGGCCAAACCTAGGAAGCAGGAATGGGCACCAAAAATGTTTTTAAATATATTTTGTCCAAAGCAGGCAACTGAAAATTACCTCCTTCGGGTACATTCTCGTGACAACAAGATCAATTAGATCACTAGGCAACTCTTAAAGCTGGAACGCATGGCAGGAGGGAAACCAGCAATGTGGCTAGACACAGCATAAACATCAAGAGATTCAGGGAAGCAAGATATTACGATGTAGTTTAGGGTACTTTAGCAATTAGCTTGTATTAATCACTTTAATTCAGTCAATTGGCTTCCCCATAATTTCTTGAAATCCCTTTGGTAGAACAATACTTGTCAGAAGTGTTGCTTATTTTTCAACATGGAATCGATGATCACTGACTTTAGAGTGACTCAGCGATATATTTAGCTTCCCGAGGGTTAATTCTCAGTTTTACTATTCAACGAGTTTTGATGAGGTGCAGAATGCAAATTTTGCCTCGCAAACTGCAATAAGAAATTGCTTATTTTTCATCATGCATTTACATAAATCTAACTTAATGCAATTTTCTATTGGTCTAACTGATGTCTGACATACTTGAATTTCAGTACTTATTTTTTTCCTTTATTTAAGCACAGTGTTAATGTTCAAATTTGCCACAATGTCTTCCAATAACAGAGGTATTTAATGAACACATAGGCCTACTACGTTTCTGTATTTTATTGTTGGATTGTTGGCAGTGATGGTGATACTTGGATTTTTAGGTGATGCTTTGTGTTACAAATTTGACAACCACAACCACTTGGACGGCCTGCGTGTATTGTATCCTATTGCACGTGTACGCGCAGAAGGCTGCTCTGTACCTTTAAGAGCATCTCTGTCAGCATCCTCCTCCCGCGTTGTGGACGCGCACGCTTAACAGCTCAATATTCGAGAATTACAGCCAGCCTGGCTTTGCATCATCCAACTGATACCACATCAGCTTCGCGCGACACGAACATTCCACGCTTGTATTTCTCATCGGGACATTGATGCATTTTCCTACACGGTCACCGTAGCGGTCCAGCCGTTGGTTTTTGCTCCTATTTCTCACCCGTGCGCGTCCCCAGGCTGATCCAGGCTATAAGATGGCTGAGCTAAATTTGGGGAAGGGTTTGACTGCGGGGAAAGTGGCCAGCAACGTCCAGAAGAAGCTAACCAGAGCCCAAGAGAAGGTAAGAGCTGCGGACTAAACGTGAGCAAATGGGGGGTGGGGGGGATGGAGAGATGCGAGGCCTGTAAAAATGAACGTGGAACCAACTTGCACACCCCCCCACCAAGGGGCAATGTCGCATCGCGACAGCCTCACAGCTGGGAGCTGAGATGGTGCATTTGGGGCTCCGGGG